ATATTTCTTTTTGAGATATCCATACCAGAAATTATACATAAAATATTTGGAAAGATCAAGAATACATGCCCCCACATATTCTGGCTTATTTAGTTTTACATTAGTTTGCCTTCGATGCACTGCCACTAAATTTGCTCCATAGAAAATTTTCCGACTAACAAATGCTGGATCCGATATTAATCGATGTAGTCTACGTTCTTCACCTACCTGTCGAACCAGATCTATATTCACTCGCTTTCTCACATCCTCCATAGTTTTCCCAAATACCGAATTATTCATTAATTTCCAAAAGTCTTTTTCGAATGCATTTTTTGCTTTTGCACGTCGTTGAGTATTCATTGCTATATAGGGTTCCTGCCATGGGGATTGATCGAATTCTAGAATTCGGTATACTTTTTCGAGAACATACCCTTCTCTTATACACTGCTGTAGATTTCTATAATGAATAACGTAATGGTCTTTATCATATAGAGTTAGTATAAGTTTTTCTGTATCGGGACATTGATTTCCTAACCATTCTTTTTGTTTCAAACTATACCAATCATATGGTACTTTTTTTCGTTCTGGACACATTGGATAATCTCGAAATTTGGGGTGTAATTCTTTTGGAATCGATAACTTAACCTCTAAACAACATCCTCGATTTGATTTTTCTTTTAATGATAAAATTTTCTGCACTAATGGGGAAGTCGCTTCGATGGGTTTTGTTGATAGCCATTTGAATCCTCCGGTTGGTAAATATTGACTCATTGCCCAACCATACAGATTATTTGCATCTAGATACAAAAGCCACTTTTTCGCTTTTTTTCCATCATATCCCTCTAACCCTGGAATATTTGCTCTAGCTATACGTCGTCTAGCCAAAGACATTCCCCCTCTCTTCATAGCTGTAAAGAAATCATGCATATCCCCTTGATGCTCATTAAATAATTCTAATGTTACTTTAGTTACCTTCATACATGCATCCCATGCTAAACCTGGTGCCATTAAATAATTTGCTGGATCAAGCTTGAATGCTGAATAAGATGCTTTTCTGAATGCTTCGAATGCATCTGCTAAAATCAATACATCAGTTTTAAGATAGATATCGTGGTAATCTCCAAAAGTCTTGCATTCTGTTTCTCGCCAGACCATATGTGCAAAATCATAATCCTTTTGAGATATGGTATAAATTTTTTCGTGTTCACATTCTTTATTTTCTTCACATTCATTGCAATTACCTGGTTCTTTTTTATGCTTACATTTCTGACATTTATGTTTGCATTTCCCTATCTTCTCTCCATGCTCACATTTTTCTATTCTACAATTATGATCACAGTAATTAAACCCATCTAAATCACTATTAAAATCCTTACGTGAAGGTAGTTGTGTCTCATTAAATTTCGTTTTGCTATTTAACCATTGATATGGAAATATTCCTTTACGCGTAAGCAATGATAATAAATGAGGTGAGATGAATTTCGACATAAATGGAAAACATTTTGCTAGTTGTTCTGGTGTTTTAGTTTGGCCCTTCTTTTCATCACGTAAGTTTTCTGCCATCTTAGCTAAACCAGGTAACGAAAATTTTAAACTATCAATAAATTGAAGCTGGCCAACTGAGAAAGTGATATATTGTTCAGAATTGTTTGCTATAGGTACTATTTTTTCATCCGTCACTTTTGCTATTTCTTGCATTAGATGATGAAAATCGTAGCCACTTCCATTGCAAAATAATACTGGAATTTTTATTGTTTCTGGATCAATTCGTAATTTAAGATTGCAACTACTGTGTGATGCTCCACGAAACTTTCCTGTTATATGATCATGATCTAGTACCTTATTTTTTCCTTCGTCAGGCAATTGAGTTTTACAATACATACATTTTTTA